ATGGCAGCTGGAAACGCGAACTTTTTGTATGTAAGTACACTTTATCGCGCTAAACTTTCGGCGATGAAAACTTTGTATTCAGTTTTTGTTCCACGCTAATATTCCAAGATTTCGGTATATTTGCAACGGATCATATTCGCCAAGGAAGTTGCAATTGGATGGTTTTAATGCTCTGAATTTTACCTTTGGGAGACGTTTGCAGAATTTTCATTGAATTTCTTATTGGAAAGTGATATTCAAAACTCCTATATTGAAGACGGATTTTTATATTGAAAAAATGTCATTGCTGCTTTCTTCACTTTTTCTTCAATAACTATGGCGTATACAGAGTAAAATATTAAGACATTTTCCCCATGCAAAACACCAGGCAATAATCGACATTATCGTGGCATATCCTGAAATTTATTATGATTTAAGCGGCAATTAATACATGAAAACCGGAATATGCCCATAAAATACCCTCCAACGTGCGGACAATAAAAATCTGTTGGCGAATTGAGTTTAGGAAGAAAAGGAGGAAATAATCGGCCCCAGGAACGCGATGTTTTATAGTTTTAATAAGTAGTTTAATTTATACTAAGCGTTTCCCTCCTTTGCATTACCATCTTCTGAGTGGCATTTATGCAAAAGAAAACTGTGCACGGAGAAGCCGACTTTAGCGATTTATAATGCAAGGTGTATTGTGTGACTAAATAAAATTTCAAATCATTTGGATAAGTGAATTTTTCTAAAATAATTCTTGAAGTTGGGAAAGATTTTGAGGAATTTCCCTCTTTTACAATGCCATGTTCTAAGCGTAATTTCTTCAAAAGAAGATTGTGCATTGAGACGCCGACCTCAGCGTTTTATAGCTACGGGTTTCGTGTGTGATTTGAACGAAAATTTCAAATCATTTCTACGGGATAATTTTTATAAAGTAGCTCTTAAAGTTGAGAAGAATTTTGCAAAATTTTTCTATATTACCCATCTTCTAAAAGCCCTTTTGTCAAAAAAGCAACGTGCATTGAAACGCTGACTTTAGCTTTCATAAGGCAAGATTTAGTGTGTGACCAAATGAAATTTAAAATAATTTCGATAAGAAAATTTTTTCAAAATAACTTTTAAAGTTGGAAAGGATTTTGCGAAATTTACCTATTTCAAATTGCCATCTTCGAAGTGTCATTTCTTCAAAACAAAATTGTGCATTGAAACATCGACCTCAGCGAGTTATAACGAAAGGTTTCTTGTGTGATTAACAAAAATTTCAAATCATTTTTACGGCAGAATTTTTATAAAATAATTCTTGAATCGAGAAGAATTTTGGCAAATTTTCCTATTTTCATTATCATCTCCTAAATGCCATTTTGTCAAAAGAAACAACGTACCTTGAGCCGCTGACTTTAACATTTCATAACGCAAGATTTATTGTGTGCCCAATTGAAATTTCAAATCATTTGGTCAAGAGGATTTTCCCAAAACAATTCTTGAAGTTGGGAAGGATTTTGCTAAATTTACCCATTTTACATTGCCATCTTCGAAGTGTCATTTCTTCAAAACAAAATTGTGCATTGAAACATCGACCTCAGCGAGTTATAACGAAAGGTTTCTTGTGTGATTAACAAAAATTTCAAATCATTTTTACGGCAGAATTTTTATAAAATAATTCTTGAATCGAGAAGAATTTTGGCAAATTTTCCTATTTTCATTATCATCTCCTAAATGCCATTTTGTCAAAAGAAACAACGTACCTTGAGCCGCTGACTTTAACATTTCATAACGCAAGATTTATTGTGTGCCCAATTGAAATTTCAAATCATTTGGTCAAGAGGATTTTCCCAAAACAATTCTTGAAGTTGGGAAGGATTTTGCTAAATTTACCCATTTTACATTGCCATCTTCGAAGTGTCATTT